CAAGGGTAGGTAGCTTCTTTCATCTTAAGTGGGGGATGAGTTCAGTTCTAGAGAAATGTTTTTGGAAAAGAGTCAAGAGAAGGTTGGGATCAATGACTAAAGGATGGGGCCACTAATACCAGCATGTTTTAAGCTGAAAGCTCTTATTGCCCATGCCTAACCCTTAGGAGAGGCATGTCACACTTCCTCAATGGAGAAAAACAAACTTGTATAAAAGAATTAATGGAGAAATAGAGTTGGCCATGTCCCAATAAATAAATAAATAAATAAATAAATAAATAATAAATAATACAGTCCCACAGGACCACATTGAAACTGCAGGAGCACCAGATTTTGGCCTTGTTAACATCTGTAGTGGTTTGAGCATTGGATTATGACTCTGGAAAACAGAGTTTGAATCCCTGCTTGGCCATCAAAATCCACTGGGTGACCTCTCTCAGGGGGGAATTCAGATGGTGAAAAGCGCCATCTTCAATCCCAGGAAGGGAAGGGGCAGCCAGATGCTGGGCACCCCATCCCCTTCCTGAGGACGTCATTGGAGCGACGGCCCATCCACACAACGGGTGCTCCGATGATGTCCTTCTGGCTCAGCGTCTGGACACGCTGAGCTGCACGAGATGCCAAAGAGGTGCACCACACCTCTTGCGGTGCCCCTTTTGTGGCTTGCAGAAGAAGCACTATTTTAGTGCTCCTTTCGCAGGCGGCGAAAGGGAGGATCGGGGCCGAGGTGTCTGGCAGCCTCTTCCTCGATCCTCCACTTCCGGGTGTGGTCCAGGACCCCCCTTCTGCATCCCCCCTTAGTCCCACTCTGTCTCACACTCTATCAGCTTCAGAGGATGGCAAAAGGCAAAGGCATACCACCTCTGAACAAATCTTGCCAAGAAAACCCCATGATCCAATATGACAAAACCGGAGGACTCCACCTCATAAGGGAGCAGGACCCAAAAATAATGATAACATCAACAGTATGAGACAAACCATGGAGTATGGTTTCTTTATGATCAATCTCAACCAAAGTCTTGGAGAATACATCTTTTAAAACAATAGATTGTTGGTAGAGCCAATGTGGCATAGTGGTTTGAGCTTTGGGCCATGACTCTGGAGACTTCCAAACTCAGCCATGAAACCCAACTCCCAGCTTGGCCATGTAAACCCATTGGATGACTTTGGGCAAGTCACATGCTCTCAACCTCAAGGGAAGGCAATGGCAAACTTCCTCTGAACAAATTGTGCCAAGAAAACCCCATGATGGGTTCTCTTTAGGGTTGCCATAAGTCAGAAAAGAGTTGAAGGAAGATGATAGCAGCAGCAGTAGCAGCAGCAGCAGCAGCAACAAAAATATATGTTTGTCTTAGGTTAATGTTTAGAACTTCTTGGCCCCTGATAATCCAGCAAGGCCACCTCCGTTCCTACCTTTCCTCTCAGCTAACTGGTGATATCCCTCTCCCAATCCCTGGCACAGCAAATTTTAATTTGCTTTTAATCTCTTCTGTGCTTTCTGTGGTCAGAGCAAGTGACTGATGTGTGTTCTCTGTCACTCCTCTATGAACACTTTTTGAATACATTGTATTTTTGTTTAAGAGGAAGAAGAACATGGAAACATTATTACTGTAACTGGAAAACAGCACCTAAAATTAACAGCTTAGGTCAGCCTTGGAAAAAGTAACAAATAGTGTATGCTGAGAGCTGTCTTTGGTCCAGAACTGCTATATGTCTTAAATTAAAGCCATCTAACTGGAAGTCATCAAGGCAATGCCATCTCAAAATGGCCAGTGCCAATCTAGTTAGTGCCAAGCAAAGGTCAGATAGTTAAAACTGAGACAGAATTCAGTGGCACAATAAAACCTATTGTCCAGGATATTTATATTTGTTTCTACTGATTTCATTCTTGTCCCTGGACAAATGTGCAGTTGGCCCTCCATATCCAGAGATTCTTTATCCATGGATTAAAGCATCCATGGCTTGAAAATATTGAAACAATATTCAGTATTCTCTCTCTCTCTCTATATATATATATATTCCAAAAGACAAACCTTGATCCTGCCATTTTACATTAGAAACACCAGTTTACTATGCCACTGTATTTAATGGGTTTGCCATTGCCATCCTTTGAAGCTGAGAGAGTGTGATTTGCCCAAGGTTACCCAGTGGGTTTTTATGCTTGACCGTGGAATAAAACCTTGATCTCCATAGTCCAATGCTCAAACCACTGCACCACACAGGTTCTCAAGGTCCAAATAGAAGCAAACATTGGTTTCAGGAAGGTAGGCTTTGTTTCCACTGGAGATGAGGAGGACTGAGACTGGAATTAGATAATACAGGACATGAAGCTGCCGCCAAGAGCAACAGCCCTGCTTCTCCCCCACTTTCTCTCATAAGGTCTGATAATAAAAAACATGTGACATGATGTCATTGTGTTGCAAGTGCCTCTTCTCCCAGACACTTCATGGGCTGCCACTTATAGAGGCAGTGATGCTGGTGCATGTGTGTGTAGGGTTGGAAGCAGCAGAACAACTTGCAACGGGACAACATTAAATCACATCACATCTTTTGTATTACAACCTAAGACATTATTAGGGGAGAAGGAGAGGCAAGTGAGAGCCAGTATGATGTAGTTATTTTATAGACTATGATTGTGGGAGACCAGGATTTGAATCCCAGTTTAGCCATGGAAATCCATTGGACAACTTTGAGTGGGTCATATCCTTCCAGCCTTAGGACTGAACAAATCTGAACAAATCTTGCCAAGAAAACCCCATTATAGGTTTGCCTTAGGGTCATCATAAGTCGGAAATGACTTGAAGACACGCAACATAGGAGGCTGAGATTTTTTGTGGCACCACTGTGTGTGCTATAACATTTTCTTTGGCCATAAAGAAGAATCCAGACACATTCCAGATATGTAGAGAGATCTTGTAGCACCTTTGAGACTGAAATAAAGAAGTTGGCAGCATGAGTTTTTGTAGACTTCAGTCTACTTCTTCAGGTGCATATAGTCTATATGCATCTGAGGAAGTAGACTGAAGTCTACAAAAACTCATGCTGCCAACTTCTTTATTTCAGTCTCAAAGGTGCTACAAGATCTCTCTACATACTAATTTTTCAGATTAACATGGCTATATCTTTACATTCCAGATATGTGTAACTGCAAGTCCCCAAAGAGGTAGATTGAAATTGAGGCAGGGTCCTCCTGAGGCAGTTGTGTTCTAGGAATGTGCAACAGCACAATTTGTCCCTTCTAGAAGAAAGTAGGAACTCTTCAAGGATGTATATGTCACTGTAGGGGTGAAAATTAACCATTTAAGAAAGGGAAAGAGAGGAAAAACAGAAAAGGACTTCCATAACAAAGGGAGTAAGGCAACAGAGTTCTGACTAGGTCAGTTCTAGGAAGGCTCATACCTCTTTGTAAGACAAGCTTTTTCACATAAATACAGAAAAGTGGAGAGCAACAATGATTTATGTGAATAACTCTAAAAGATTGATTGATACTCTGATAGACTGGGTATTTAAAATAGCATTGGCCTTATGTGCCACAGGATTATGCTGTTGGCTCATGTTCAGTTTTCTTGTCCTCCACGATCCTGGTACCCCACACTGTTCCCAATACTCTTTGTGTTTAGTTCTACCTCCCTACACATACTCTTTGCTTTCATCCTCCTCAATTTTTTCCACTACTGCCTAGCGAGTGTAAGACCATTTTGAATGCTTAAGGTTTGTATTCTTAGTTGTGAATCATCTGCAGATCTGAAAGGTGTACTTTTCTTTCCAAATCAATTACAAAGATATTAAATTACAATTGCAACATAAGCCTAAATGGTGTTGGGTGGTTTTTTCAGTGGTGGATAGATGGGGTAAATGAATAGTGTGGTCACATGCAATGCCTTGGAGATTTGTGAAAATGGAAGCAACACAATGGAAAGAAATGGATGGCAAGGAGGAAAAATTAGAAGGAACTGGTGTCATACTACATTTCAATCAATCAGTTGGAGATGAACATCAATTCATGTTTTCCTCTGCTGTTCTATTGGAGAAAGAAGATAATAACCTCTACCTGAGACCCAGCAGAGTTATTATCTGTCAGAGCAGTACTGTGCTCAATCAAAGCTCAGAAGCAATGAGTTACAAAGTTGTTGTTGTGTGCCTTCAAGTTGTTTCTGACTTACAGCAATTTTAAGGCAAACCTGTCATGGAGCTTTATTGACATGATTTGTTCAGAGGAGGTTTGCCTTTGCTTTCCTCTGAGAGAGTGTGGGTTTTCATGGCCAAGTGGAGATTCAAACCCTGATCTTAAGAGTCCAGCGCTCAAAATTCTACACCATGCTGGTTATAAAACCAATAATGAAGGTTTTATAACAACTACATTGTATAACAACTGTAACTTAATAAATGATACGTTCATTTCTTTTGCTGTGTAACTCTTATTGTTTATGTTCTTTTTATAGTTACTGGAGTGTGGCATCATTAAATGATGAAGATCATATGGTTCAAATGCTGGCTTGTGTTCTGTTGCGGGTGTTAAGACAACAAAGTAGATGGGAAGAGATCATGTTTTGTCCCGCAGGCCACTGGTGTGTACCATTCACATTTTTAAAAAGTAAGGTTATCTAAGATAAGACAGAGAAAAATAGTCTGAGTGCATATATAAATTAAAGGCTCAGTATAACAGGAAAATACTTAAAACCAGGGAACAGATTAAAGAGCTAATGTCAGGAGTTACTCTCATTTGGTTTCAATTACAGCAATTCAGTTCTTTAAAATTCTAAAACAAAGACCTGTAACCAGATTCTTGGAAGTCATAGCTTGAAGAGTTAAATATATAGCTATTGATATGAAAATCTAATGTGAAAAAATTGGAGGGCTCCACCACACAAGAGAGCAGTACCCAAAAATAATGACAATTTAAACATTATGGGACAAACTTTGGAGTATGGCTCTATTATGGTCAGTCTCAGCCAAAGTCTGAGAGAATACATCTTTTAAAACAATAGATCATTGGTAGAGCCAGTGTGGCACAGTGGTTTGAGCATTGGCCTATGATTCTGGAGTCCAGGGTTCAATTCCCAGCTCAGCCATGAAACCCATTGGATGACCTTGGTCAAGTCACATGCTCTCAGCCTCTAGGGAAGGCAATGACAAACCTCCTCTGAACATATCTTGCCAAGCAAACCCCATGATAGGGTCATGTTAGGATCACCATATGTCAAAAATGACCTGAAGGTACACAATAACAACAGCAACAACACAACAACCCAACACCACTAAAGGCAAGCCATGATCCATGGGGGGGGGGAGTAGGAGAAAGAATTGTGTGTGTGTTTGTGTGTATGTGTGTTCATATTGCCTTCACCTTATGGCAACCTCATTAATTTCATATGTTTTTATTAGGCAATGAATCCTTTGTTGGTGGTCTCCATCCAAATATTAACCACAACTGATCCTGTTTAGTTTCCATGATCAGATGGGATGTGGTGTATTGGGGTATTTAGGCACATAGGAGGAGGAATTACACCATCAAAATGTATTCTCCTTTTGCTGGTTAGCAGTCCAACCTGAAGTAGTCACAGCCTGGAAATCAACTAAAACATTTTAGTTAACAAATGGTGGAACAGACTATAATAGCTAGAACTCATAGCTCTATTAATAAGTCAAAAAGTTTCAATATACTAGATTAATAAACTGGTCATTTTTATGACTGATGGCACCCATTTATTAATTATGAATTGTAAAGAAAATGACATATATCCTCTGGATACACATGATATCTTGTTGGTGGTATTTGCCGGGATAACTGGTAAAATAAAGATGATAGGGAGAGCATTGTTTGTTTTATATCCTATATCAGTCCACAAACGCTGCATCTTGGTGTATAAGTTGGTTTTGGTGCATCCTGGGTTAGTTGGTTTTTTTTAAAGTAACAAAGAGTGACCATTGTAGTTAGAACCAAAACAACAACAACAACAAATAATTACTTCTATAATTTGTCATTATAATAGCAGTTAATTAAGGGTGTTTTTTTTTTGAGGACTCTATGATATGTAACTTCCCAAGTCTTGCCTGTTTTCTATCTTTCTATTTTAAGTCAGAGAGTGTTTATATATAGCAGGGGTCTCCAAACTTTTTTCCAGCTACTGCCACCTTTTGTCTTGGCCAATAACCCTATCCCCCCATGCATATTTCTTGATACTAGGTCTACTGTTCTACTGCAAATCCAAAACAAGCAATCTCGATCAGTGCTCCCTTTGCACCCAGTTACCCTAGAAGCAGCAACTGAGTAAGCTGGCTGAACAGCAACCGAGAAACCTTTCACCCATATCATCCCTCCAGCAAAGGTCAGTACAGACAAGAGGTCTCTTGGTTGCTACTCAGCCAGCTACTTGGTTGCTGCTCCCAAGGCTACCAAGTGCAAAGGGAGAAGCTTCTTCTTGGTGAGGAAGGATTCTCAAGCCTTCCTCATTGGAATGAAGGGGGGCACAGCTGTTGTATGTGTTGGGAGTTTGCAGAAGCCACATGCCCTGGACTGGAGACTGGTATTGGTGGAGAAAGGGATAGATTTCAAATACAGGAGCTGCTCCAAGGACTCTTTCCAAGAATTGACCCCAGATACTC